TAAAAGTACTAACATTTGTTGAAGCACAGTGGGACATTATCCAAAAAAATATTTGCAGACTAAAAATCGTGTATCTTGTTCTTTCAGTTCATAAAATAAGCTTAAATTGCTACTACTGAAACTACTGAAACTTGTATTTCAAATGGAATCATCGGAGAAATTATTCTGGATTATAAATGAAGTCCAAATTCGCTTTGTTGGACTGTTTAGGGCAAGGTTCTTTATCCAGCTATGATAAATAAACGTTTCCACGCGAGAACACTGGGGACAGAGGCGCTAAACGCGTGGAGGTATTATTTCAAATCAACAGGACGTTCTTTGGATTTTTAAAGAACGACCACTTTGTGTCAGAACGTGCCTCAAGAGAGTGAGACGAGGTCGTCGTCGTCGTCGGTGTAGGACGTCGAGAGGAGGCCATAGGCGTCCAGACGGCGACGTCGTCGCCGGCGCCTAGCGTCGTGCTAACTAGCACCCCTAGCGCACACACCCACGCCTTTATTAAACGTCGCCCGTCGGCTCGCAGTATACGTTTCCCCTCATAAAATTGAACATGGCGTACATACCTATACGCGCGGAAGAACTCGAAAGAGAGGCCGGAATGGCGGGCAGAGGGAGAGAAACGCGCGAAGTGTACGATTCAGAGAAAGAGGGACAAAGAGGAAAGAAGTACAAACAGACTGCGAGAAGTACGCGAAGATAGAAAAAGGGAGGACGAAAACGTGCGCGTGAAACGAAGAGAACTAAATATTGAGTTACGATTTCTGAATGTTCAATCAAGATGACGTACCTCTATGCTCGCGAAATATCTGCGGCGGTAAAACTCGCTCGGCGCTGTTTGGCCGCGACGTCGCGACGTTCCGAACAGGGAAAACAGTAGACAGGCATCGAATTGCAATTTCTGAATTCTTCGTTAAGACTGTGATACGCGCGAGGGGATTATGGAGGAACGAGAATCTAAAGAATGAAGAAAGGACGACGGCGATGTATGCACGTCGTTTCTGAGTTTCGAAGAGTCAGACGGGTATATTTAAAATAGTAGATTGAGATATGTTAAAAGAAAGAGATAAATAACGCTAAAATCGACTTTGTCTCGAGGTTTGCTGACAAAAAATCGCTCTGTACGCAACGTAACGCAATAAGAGGAACGTTGGTGGATAAAAATAGGAGTCAGAGGCGGGAAGATCGTGGAAAAGCGAGAGAGTAGAGGCGAAAGAAGCCGGGAAAGAGGGCGACACGATGGAAGAGACGCGGAAGGAAGGGGATTAAAGTGATCCGGTGAGAATCAGGGCGGAAAGACAACGTGAGTTACGAGATTTATTAGATCCCGGATCCGAAGTATTTTAATTACGACGGAGTAACGCAACGAAAAGCGAAATTATTTCCAACGGGACGGGGGGCGCGGGAAATAACGTTAACCGTTAACGAGTAGTTTCGATATCGGCGTTCCGACGCGGTAATGGGGTACTCGTCGATGTAAGGACGGTAAAGTGGGTATTAAACGTAGATAGAATAGCCGGGGTGAAGATAAGAGGTAGGAATTCATGGTGCAACGAATGAAATGAGATGTAAATACGGTTTATTTTTCAACGGCCCACTATTTACCCCTTATTACTTTCGATGCACCGTAAAGGGTGTCGTTGGACACCGGCGGGGGATGCGTTTCGAAAGTAAATTACGCGGAAATATTTCCGGCGTACGTGATACCATTGCGTGGAAGGAGATCGTTAAAGGCTTTTGTAAGATTCGACAAAACTATCGCTACCGATTCTCGAACGTGATTAGAAACGATTCCTAAACTCTCCCCACGACGATAAATATCGTAAGCTACGATTCTGTCGGCCAAAAGAATATTACAGGCTTTAAAGAGAATTAAAATAGGAAATCTGAATATGAAGTTTGCAACGAGCTTTCCCCTTTTAATTTTCGTAGATTTCGCGAAACTTCCTAAATACAGTGAAAATTGATCACCATTAATCACCATAATCGGCAATTTCCCGTTTGACAAATTCCCCGGGATACGATGGCCGTGTAAATATTGAAATTTCAGCCTACAAATCATGCGAACATTTTCCTGGCAAGAAGTTCGCCTTCAAACGCACCCTTTTTCCCCGAGCACGGAGCCCCCACGCGCTTTGCACGGGCAAGAATATATACATCTTAATAGGAATGGAGAGTAGAGGGTGAACTCTCGTGCAAAATTTATTAAAACCCTCCTCTCTCTGTCCGGTTAACCGTCCAGAAAGCGGCGAGCGTACGTGAATTAAAGGCAACGACATGCTGAACATGTCCTATATCTGGTGTGTCAAAGGAACCGCCCAGCGCACAGTTAACAGGGTTAGATCCCGTACCCCGTAAAGTCGCTGGAGGCCCTCCAGTCGAGGGTAATTAAAAAGAATGACCACGAACAAGCCAACTAAATTTAGAATTCGGTGGCGAAAGCGCTAGTCGAGTTGCACGGGCGCCGATCGATTGCTCGCTATCTAGGACAGTCCTTCTTCGGGATTCGACATCGATTTTTGACCCATTGGAAAATGGCTCTCCCCCTTTTACGCGAAAAACAACGCCACTTTCATCATAAAAACTAAACCACAAGTACAATTTATTATTACTTTTCATGGTACAGTGTCTCTATCTGAACGTGTTAACTAAAAGGAGTTGTAGAAAAATTTATTGGGTTTACGACAATAATTTTCGATAAACTAACGCGTTTAAATGTGACATGGTTTCCGGAAATATCTAACTGCAGGGCGCTACGCGTTTCGTATACCGTTTCATTGTTTTAAATCAAACTTCAAACGCAAAACGCCGCTCCTCCGCGGTGAAATATTGAAACGGGAGTAAACTAGTACGAATTATTCATACACATATATTTTTCGATGTGTATGGGAATTAGCAATATATCCTGGCCAGTTTTCACCAAATTTCGATCTAGGAAACATTTAATTTCTTTATAATTCTTTATAATTGAATGGCCTCAAAATTAGCAATTGGTCTTCTTATCTATAACTACAATTTGAACTTCAATACAACCAAAATTGGCCAAATTTTACGTTCGAGTAAATTAAAATTGATTTTAATACGATTATGCGTTCGACTCTAAGTCTGCTATTTTACTAGGAAATAATAAAGATTACTTGACCTTTCACCTTATGGACTTTCGTGGCCCAATCTGACTGCCATACCGACTTGAAAATTCGGAGGTGATTTTAGCGTCCTCTACACATGAATGGCGGTCAGTTGAGAAACTATTCACTGAATTAATATTGATCGGCAAACAGCTGTAGATTAATTTCTGAATCTGTCGGTAACGTCGCGAATGACACGAAAATGGTAATGGGATTTCGAGACCCCATAAAAATGGGTCAAAAAAATCCATTGGATGAAGGATCTACTTCTATACTATATCTGTGACAATACTCTAGAATCTCTAGATCTAAACTAACCTAATGAAGAAGCTCTATATTTATGATGACCTATGCAACGCGGATCGCAGCCAATTTGCTAATAATATTTAGTTTTTAATTAATAATTGCATTACCCAGCTAAGAGTGATACGATTATTAATTAAACCCTAAATAATATTACCCAGGTCTCACCACGAGGAGGTTGCTGCGAATGGAGACCCACCCTAACCGATTCCCAACTACCCTCCATTAATAAAGATCCTCTGTAACCAACGATCGAAGGTGTAACTAATGAAAGAAGCACAACCAACGAAAAGAGCTAAAAGAATTTTCAAAAGAAACTTGGAAACACCAAATTGAATCAACATCGAACAATCAAACGAAATGAATGAATCAAACAAAGTACCTCCGTGGAATATTACGAGAATTCGAGCAAGAACGTAAAAATAAAAATTCATAAAATTGTATAGAAACAAATATAGTACATGATTGAAAACAATATTACATTATTATATACAACATTCATAATATAATAAAATAAAAATAAAATATAAATAAATGGAGTGGACTTACTACTTGTTGTCAGTACACAGGGTAGTTACCACTGGGCCAGCTGTAAAGTAAGAAAATATTCATATTATAGCAACATCGGTTAGATAAGCAAGGCAAAATCAGTTCATTAAAGCAAAATTATCATCAAATGAGTTTTTACAGTTGAATTAGCATATGTAGGTAACACGATAATGTTACGACTTTAATATAAAAAAAAAAAGTACATTAACTTTCGACCCATCTTCGTATTACAAGTGAGGTAATTAACTCGAAAGGTCTGTACAGAAAAGATAATAAATCATGTTTCGTTGACCGGTAGTTATCAGTATTATAGCCCCTTCAAGCTCAAGTATGCGGATATGGTTACAAATCAAGCGGTGTTCGTTCCGATAATGACATAGCGGAATAATAAACATCGAGTACATTTCATCTTCGCGTGTTTAATCGTTCTTGTCTCGAGTGTTCTACAGGCATGGCCTTCATAAGTCTACAATTGAAAATTCCAATTTGGGATATAATAAATTCTCTTAAAAATCAGATCAATTAAGAACAATTAAGAGAAGTTCAATTTTTAAGAATATTCATAAAAATGCATGCAATCATCAAGAAGGAACTTATATTTTTTAGTTCTTCTAAGTATAAATGTCATAATAGAAAACTATCTACTTAACAACCATATGTTGTTATCGCAAAATTGAGCTTAGGTCGTGGATTTATATCATTTGAAAATGAACCATATGTGCCTTTGACATTATGGTGCGTTTACATATAATACAAAAGAGTCACATTTATGAAGCCACCTTTTCAGAAACACAGTGTATCCGCCTTAATATTAATTAACAAAAATATTTAGTAACTAAATTAACTATTAATAAATCGTATTTTTTACTAATTGTTTAAGATATTATCAGAATTTTATTGCGCAAAAATTGAATTGATATCTATAAAATATCATTTTATAACTATGGTCTATTACAAACGATACCAACATTACGTTTACAATATTCCTAGTGTAGATTTCTTTCTATGTAACATAACCTATTTTATTAACGTTAGTTTGTTATGAGGTTCCAGAATGAATTTTGTAATATATAACAAATGCAGAAATTCTGTGTTTCAAGAAATTAGAAGATACGCGGGCCACAGCAAGTGGCAAAATATCAAACATACTAAACAGACACAAGATGCTGCAAGATCAGACCTATTTCGTTCTATAATTAGTAAAATGAGAGCTGCGATAGCAGGTATGATGTTTCTCTTAAAACATGACTGAAAACAATAAAATAAATTCCGAAATAGCAATTAAATTCGAACTATACACATCTTTCTACACGTCCAACGAAAATTTTCATTATTTGGTATTTACTTGAATAATTTTTATTTTAAAGAGACTGGAGTTACAGATCCATCTCAAAACACGAGATTAGCACAACTTATCGAACAAGCTAAAAAAGCCAATATGCCATTAAATACTTTAAACACATTTATGGCCAAAGTAAAGAATTCTAAAGAAAACACTAACCTTGACATACTATGCGTTCGTTGTCCTAGCAAATGCATATTAATTCTGTATATTATGACTAACAATTTTATTAAAACAAAATTGGAAATCGCTAATAAAATAAAGAAGGCTAAGTAAGTATTATCTTACATTTCGTTTTACAATGTTGGACTATAAACATAACTTTTACATTTCGAAAATTTTATGTAAACAGTGGTAAATTGGTAGAATCTACAGCATTGTCAATGTTTAATTGTGCATGTTACATTTTAACTTCAAAAGACTGTGATTTGGATCAAGCAATGGAAGATGCAATACACATAAATGCACAGGATGTTGAAAAAGTAACAGATGATGATAAAACATATTTTAAGGTATCAAAGATCAATTTATCTGACTTTTCTTTCTTTAAATATATTATATTTAATATTTCTATTGCAGTTTAGATTTGAATTGCTTTCCTCTCAGAAGAATGTTACCCAGCTTACAGGCAAGGGTTACCATATAATTTCTGTAGAAGACACATGCTTACCTGAATCTACAGTTGAATTAAATGAGGCAGACTTATTGGCTGTAAATAAATTGAAGGAGAAACTTCTACTTCTGGGTGAAATTGAGAAAATAGAGGACAATATAGCAAATTCTTAAACTACTATAGGAATTTACAGAAGTAATGAAAAAAAAAGAATTATTTTATATTCCATCAATTCCCATTTGTAAATATGTGTTAAAAAAAACAATGGTAGAAGTAAGGTGTAAACTTTTTTTTTTATTATTATCTGACAAACATTTCTTTAAACAGAAAAAAATAAATAAAATATTCTGTACATTTACAAAACACACGTGTGCTATTACTATCCAGTAATATCCAGGTCTTGTTATATATCATTCTAGATGAAATATAACTAATACTATATACATAACCTTCAAAATACATTAAGTTATTTGTAAAAGGTCTACTTGCTCCTTTAACTGTCGCCATATCCCTTTATTTCGTGTATATTAGAGCCTGGAAAATCTATAACCACTTCTTTATGGAAAAAGGACATCAACAATCTTCTAGACATTTTTACGTTTTCATTTCGCGAGTTTGGGTAAGTATTGAACATTTCATTTGTTCTAGATATGGAAGGTGTTTTTGTAGATGTTGCATTTATTTCTTTTACAGGTTCTTCTTTTGTAGGTTCTATGTGATGAGTTGAATCATCACTGTCTTTAGTAGACTCTTCCATCGATTTGTTACGTTTATTTTTCTTCGGTTTTTTCACTTTAGAAGTATTTTCGTAATCAACATTAGCATTTTCTTTATTAGAAATTTCCTTTTCGTGTTTCATATTTACTAGATCTGTGTTAGAATCACTTATATCTACATCATTTTTAATTTCCTTCTTTTTCGATTGTATTTCATTATCTACTATTTCCGTTTCAGCGATTATATCTTCGTCCTTCTCTACATTTAATTCGATATTTTTTTTCTTTCGTTTTTTCTTTTCCTTATAAGCATCTTGATCTTCAGGTGTGTGAAGTTCACAATCTTCTTTCTCAAATGCAATTGTTACTTCTGTATCATTTTCAATGACAGTAACAATTTCTTTATCCGTTTTCTTGATTTTTTTCTTCTTTTTCATTTTTTTGCTCGAGAGATTTTCTTGTGGTATAAAAATATCAACTATATCTTCTTCTGTTTTCAATTTCTTAATCTTTATTGCATTTTCGGAAACTTCTCTATTTTCTTCCGGGATTTCTACAATTGTTTCTAGGTTAGATTGACGATTTCGTTTCCGTTTTTTAGAACTTTTACTTTTATGTTCATTGATTTTATTGTCGTTCAATTCTTCCGAGATTTCTTCAACATCTAACGCCTCATTAACAAAACCGGATGAGAAAATATTAAGATTATCTTCCTGTTTCTTTTTCTTTTTTATTTTCGTATTTTCAACCTCGAACTTATCGAGCGTAGTTCTTCCTTTCTTCTTCTTTACAGAATCAGTACTATATTCTACATGATCATTAAATGTCACTCTCCTTTTATCATTTACCTCATCGTTCAAGTCTAAAGCAGAATTTGTAACACCCAATTGTGTTCTAGATACTTCAAATTCCTTTCCATCGCACATTTCTTTAGTTGGATATTCTAAATTTAGCGCACAATTCACGAAACCATTCTCATACGCATGTTTACTTATGTTAAATTCTTTCAATGTTTTAGAGTCATTGTTACCAAAAATCTTCTTCTGTTTAGACAATTTAAATTCACTACTAGAATTTGAAATATTTTCAGGACTGTTCAAAGTCAAACAAGGATTTTCAAACGCATAATTGCAAACATTTAATGTTTCTTTATTTTTTTCACTACTATACGACTCTTCTTTGTCAACTGCTGACGCGAAACCGAACCCACTATATTCAGGTTCACTTTCTGAATTGGTTTCTTCCTGTTTTTTGTTTTTAGGCATTCGAGAAAATTTCTGATGTTTTTTAGTAAAATAATCGGTCATGTTGCCACCATTTATAGTAACAACACCACCTGTTTTATCTCGAGCACCAAGTGGATCCCGATCAGAATTTTCCTCATTATTGCTTCGATTCTCTTTACTATCCCCATCTATGTTTAATTCTTTTCTACCAAATATATTTGCTATATCTTTTGAACTATATTTATTTATATCTTTCCCTCTTATGAATTTCTGATAGCTAATAATAATTATACAAAAATAGAAAAACGTATTATATATATTATGATACATTGCATGTAATACTCACTGAACACGAGCTCGGCTGTGCTTAGATTTCAACTCTAAAGACTTCTTGCTCAATTCGCTTTTAGCTTTCTCAGTTTGCGTTACATCGTAACTTTGACCTTTCTGAAGTTCTTGCAAAAAATCATTGAAGCTATCTTGATGTTCCGTCCATGCTTTATCCAAATTTTCTTTCTTGAACCCAATGCCTGTAACAAATGAAATGCCCCCACCATGTTACTAAAATATCCGGTAAAATAAACAAGTTTCATTTTTAGGTTAGTTTCGAAATGAACTTGTTGAGCATAATAATGAAATTAATTACCTGCAGCGTCGTTTTTAAGAGACACACGCACGTGTTCCGTCATGCCTTGTTCGTTCGCTCCAAGACCTTTGCCACTCGTCCAACCCATTTTCTCCAGCATTTTTTGCCCAAATTTGGTCGAATCTTGTCGGAATACATGAACGTTAATGAGTTGAATCGAATATGCTTAATTTAAATGCCGCTAAATTAAAAGAATTCAAGTATTTGTATACCTTCGCTCCATTGTTTTCCGCGCGGATTCAGCGTCCATTTTTGTTTTCGACGAGGTTCCGCGAGCATCGACATTTCGACTGAATTTTCAGGTTGATGCTTTTGTGAAACCACAAATCGAATGTCTGGCGATCAAATGGGGTTACTCTTCAATTAATGATTCACTTTTTACTCAAGGTTTCACAAAATCAACAGAAATTTCGGCAAAATTGAACGAGCATGACGCCGAGTACGTGCGCACTGTGCAAACGCCAGCTGCGGACTGCACCTAACCTGACCCAGCCTGCGCACGCTTCTTCGCGGCGCCAAGTTTGAATTCTTGACAATGCATTCTCGTCACTACTTTCTATTTCTTTTGAACGAAATACATACACAATTAAACACGTATCGTCGATAGAGCCTGGAAAAAGCTTACTTTTTAATCTATTCGTTGCTCCACGCTAATTGTAATTGCAAGTGAAGAATAAAAATAATAGTTGCAAGCGAAAATGAAAAGAGGACTATATGTGATTATATTTCCCACACTCGCTAACGGAGGGAAACTTTAAACCTTTATCTTTCTCACAAGTACCGTTTATTCCTATGTAATTATATTCCCCTTTTTTAGTAATTTCAATTTTTATTGTACTTTCTGAACAGATATATTTTTCTTGGATTTTGCACCCTATCATAGCTGGTTATTAATACTAAACGCCGAATCAGAATTGCGATTAAATTATTTCGACCGAGACGAAGCGTGTCAAAGTCAGACTTCTATAAATAATCTCCTACATGTTTGTCTCATCATTTGCCACATGATTAAATTAGTCGCATTGATATGTGGTTCTCGTTGAATGGGCGAGAATATTTGTTATAATTACTGTTAAAAATATTCTCTAGGTCAAAAGTTCGCTTGAAGCGTGGTCGAAGGGAATGAAAATATAATAATCTGAATCCCTCATCGTGAATCACTGCATTACTGAATCACTGAGCCACTAATCACCGAATCTGCTGCATAAATAGTATCTTTTGAACCTTTCTTTCGAAAACAAAATCAACTTTTGCTAATCGTTGAGGCGAGTTAAAGCACTTTTCAAATTTTGAAAGGAGCATATGCTCGGCAGACTGTTTTATCAATAACATTTACGATAAAGTTTATTTCGAAACATTGTCAAAAAAACACTGGATAAGTTTTTGAAAATAAATTAGTCGATTACGCAATGTTTGCTCTTAATACTAAATATTGACTACCACGATAAAAATAAAATAGTAAAATACGAAGAAAAATTAATAATTAAATTACGAAACGACGGATCTCGAGTATCTATACTGTTTTAATATTTTTCTGGCTCGTTGTAACCGACTGATTGCCATTTCGGTAGTTCGCTTAGCACGTGTACGTTATCTTGTTCGTAGTCGAACCGTCATTATCAAGGAGCATATAGGGGACATGGGCCGATAAGAGGCAACGTTCGTTTGGCAAATAAACTCTCCTCAAAATTCCATTCGTTAGTCTTACTCGTGTTTCCGTTTGGAAGGCCTGACGTTGGCTCGTTGCCCGTTCACGGTACGCGCACACTTTGTTTCCCACAGACATTTTATCGCCTCCGAAGAAATAAAGAAACGCCTTTCCAGTTCTTTCATTAGGCTACTTCTCTATTCGTTGTAAAAAACTATTTGTCACGATTCGAGCTCGTAGTATTTCCGTTGTTATAGAAGTGTACCTGAGACGAATGGACAAGTACGTTCGCCAGGGAATAAAATGATCTATAAACTAACTCGAAGTGATCCACGTACAAGTGAGTTTGATAAAATGTGATGTACTTTAAAAAGTAAGACTTGCAAGTGGAAACCAACGATATTTACACGTAGTTATAGCGCTATACGTCGCGATATTGAGAGAAATTAGGACGAGACGTTTAAATATTCGGAGCACGAGTAAAGATGTATTTTTTTTATAGTTTTAAAAGTGTTACTACTTTGTATGATTAATCTGCTTTTTTTTCAATTATTATACATACATCGGTGTCCTTGATACACGATTTGTATTATACATTGACAATAATGTACAGTAATTGTTGCGTTTAGCTAATGGTACACAGAAATATTTGTCTTCGAGCTTCTATTTTCTAGCAAACATTTTAAATCAATAAACCATTAGTTATGCCTTCCTGACGACTCTAAAGTCCACTTATAGCCCGTTCCTTTTACGATCGAAGATATTGTTTTCGTTATAAATAACTTTATCGAATACGTTTGACGAATTTGACGGGAAGTAAACACGTGCTGACGATTTAATGTTACATAGACTTCGCAGACACGTGTTTATTATCCGAATTCCACGATTATTTATGTACCCATCACGATGTGTGATCCTCTCCGTGTAAGTAACCATTTTTGCTATACAAAATCTACAGAAAGTAATTTGTTTAAATGTCGAAACACGATCAGACGTTGAAACACATTTTTACTTAAAATAAACTGTTTTCGTTATGAATCCTTTATAAAATGGCAAGCACGGTGGACGATTTTGAGCGCAAGTCGCTGTACATCGAGCTTACATGCCCGGCAAATGCTACGAGCACGAATACACAGGTGACAAACGAGTTTTGCCATACTTTTGCGTTAAGTTTCGAAAGGCACGAAGGAGGACGCGCAGTACGGAAACATGTTTGACCGCATAAAAAAGTCTGCGGTTTTATTTTCCTCTTCCACGATTAACCGACCGACAGTCTCTGCTTTCAGTTGAATATCGAAGCGAGCAGACTCCAGGTCGACCGCCGGGAAAATGGACACGATGAAACCTGGCTGGTTCAGTGAAATCAATGATCTGTGGCCAGGTATCGCGTTGTCCCTCGAAGTTGTCAAAATACTCCATCGGGAGAGGTCGCAGTATCAAGACGTAATGGTGCTTCAAACGTAAATACCATCCGTAATTATTTCATCTCGCGTGAAACAGCTAAACTATCGCGCTACGTCAAAGAAAAGAAAATATTTTGCTGTTTTATCTACAGTCTATCGCGAATATTTTCGAACACCATTGCAGTTCTGATAATCATGCTACTATAATTAAAGAGCAAAACGAAACATTCGACGATTCAAAATATAATTGCTGCAAAAGGTGAAAGTGTTTACGTTTATGATTCTTGTATAAAAAAGGTTCTTTGCAATGTATTTCTTCTTGTAAAATTGGTAAATAAAAAATCGTTGCATTTTTATATACCATTTTTTTTTTCTGCATTGCATTATGGTAAGGTGCATAGTTATCGAAGCTACGGTGGTGTCTGTAAAAATGTTCGCGATAAGCTTTACTAAGGATAAGTTATATCTAACCTCTGGCTGTATCTGATAGTCTGATAACTTATAAATAGAACGTAACAGACGGTACTTAAAAAGAAGGGTCGTGAACTTTCCCGATTTGGTCGAAACCTCATAGACTTGTAAAACGGCTAAAAATAATACACGCTTATTTCTCTTTTTTGTTTTTTTTAGTTGCGGTAACTCAAGTTCAAGAGATGAAATCAACTTTCAAACTTTCGACACTCGAAGTTCTAGTTGGGTAATGGTTAGGAATACAAAATGAAAGTTAATAACCTTTGGTATATTAGAAGAAAATGATCGAGTTGAAAAAACACTGTAAAAAAGTTTTTTTTATAATATATTAATAAATGAAAATTTATTTTGATAAATGAATTCGATATATCGATATTGAAGGGTCGAGTACTCTTGAAAAAGGTTTTAGTACTTCGTTAAGTACTCGTAATACAAAAAGAAAATTCTAAATATGTTAAAAAATCCTTTGGAGTATTACTCTAATCGACCCAACATGAAATTGTTTACACACGTTGTATATATAATTCTTAAGTTTGTAAACCATTATAAGAAATGGAATTGTTGCGATATTTATATTTATATGATTGATTTTACGAAGAATCGTTGTAACTTTTTAAATAAACATAGCAGATGCATTTCTTCGAAACAATTTTGTACGTTTTCTATTAACTCGAACACTTTCTTCGATATGTCAAAACCTCGAACTATAAAAGTTGATTTCATTCCTTAAACTTGAGTTCGCGATCGAGAATATACAAATCATAATTATATTAAAAAACAGAGAACATTTATCATTTTGAATACGACGAACTGAACCTGATACGGGGGAAATAAAATTAACCAATAGCAAATAATCTGCAATTGAGAAACAATTGTGTCAATTTCACATATACAGGAAGTCACATGGAAAAGCCCTAATTTTAGATGGTATTATACAATGCACGGAGAGAGACGAATTCTCGTATCAAGAGGCGATCGCTTTTCTACCACTGTGCAGCCATCCAGATCCAAAAACGGTAATATTCCATATTTCAGTGAAATTTATTACATAATATTTACACCGGTTAATCTGAAACTGGATAACAAACGAGTGGCATAAGTTTATCGTAAACCATTAAAACTGATATTTTACAAACATATAATAACTTAAATAAATCCAAATTTGAACGTCACTTATTTTCTGGCTTTCTATTAATTTTTTTTTTATTTTTATGACAGGTTTTAATAGTCGGAGGCGGAGATGGCGGGGTTGCTCGCGAAGTTGCGAAACATCCGGCGGTAGAAAGGATCGTGCAGGTTGAAATTGACGCAAAAGTATTGGAGATTTCGAAAAAATACTTGCCTTTGTTGAGTGCAGGGCTCGATCACCCAAAAGTCACTCTCAACATAGGCGATGGCTTCGAATTTTTGAAGCAGCATAAAGAACAATTCGACGTTATAATCACGGACAGCAGCGACCCTATTGGTACGTTTTTATTTCATCGAACGTATCAGAGTCCGTACAATTGATTGTTTAACACGAATAAATACTGTTACAATCAATCAGTACATCAGAAATTCATGAACACAATATTGAGATTGGTGGTTTTCTACGGGAAATGAATTCTACATTGTTTAATTTAGGCCCAGCAAAGTGTTTGTTCCAAGAATCGTATATCAGTCTAATGAAAAGTGCATTGAAACCCGGCGGAATCGTTTGCAGTCAAGCAGGAACTGCATGGGCCAATCTCGATCACGTAGTTCAAACTTTGCAACACTGCAAATCCGTGTTTCCGGTCGCATCTTACGGAATCGTGGCGGTGCCAACTTATCCAACAGGACAAATTGGTTTTGTTCTCGGTAGCTTAAATACTGTGAGTATACATTTCCCATAAACTTAACAAAACACATTCCTCAATTTTCTTTTAAATTAAACTTAATTCAACTATGATTTTAATGAATTTTAATTAATTAAATAATATTAATTTTATGTCCACAAGTACATTTACTGTTTCTTTTTCCCTGGTGTTTCAAATTTTTCTATTCGTTCGTTTACATCTTGAAATAATTGATATAATTTTCAACAATTCTAAATATTAATTTCAGGAAACGAACTTTAAAGAGCCAGTGAAAGTTTTCAGTAACAACGATCTCGATGAAATGAAAATTAAGTACTACGACGACGAAGTGCATCGAGCTGCATTCGTCTTGCCAAGGTTCATAAGAAAATCATTGTACCAGACGGACGATAACAAGTAACTTCAGTTAACAAATTAACCGCGAGGAAAAGGGCGAATCTCATAAAATAACAATGTCAGTACATGATAATTGAATCATTGTTGTTACATTCCCTCCAGTTGCATCGAACTGCATAGAATTGTTAATCGTACGAAGATCAATTCAATTTTCAAGCCAAACACCATTACATTTACATTGAATGTACTATATAGGCGGCACGTTGTACACTCTTCTTGCACTCGAATCGAGGCAATGACAATAACATGACAACAAAATGTTAAAAATTCTTTATTACCTGAACGTAATAGATCTATTATGTATATTTGCGAAACTTCACTGTAATATAGTAATAAAATAATATTCGTTATGATAATCAGCATTACTGCGCTTAATAATAATAGATATAATTAATAATAAAATTGAAGCAATAATAATATAATATTACAATTTTTATAACATTCCGCCGTAATACATAGATGCGTAAGATTTAATGGATCGTGTTAAAAGTAACGCTTAAAAATATACTGGATATATATGAAATGAATTGTTAAAACGATGCTGCAAAATGTTAAAACTGCGAATAACGCGCTCGTTGCTTGTTTATTCTTTAATATATTAACGTTATACACAGAATATATAATATATCTATCGCATAATTGTCTTCTATAGTTCGTTATCTCTTTATGTATACATTTCTTATATATCATGGCACACATCTATATAGGTATACGTATATAAAATAAAAACACGATTGGCGATCGTTCTCAAAATATATAATACTAAATGCAATAATGTATATGTATATACACGTATACGCCATTACTTTGGAAAAGTCTGACAATAAAAAATTTCCTTCCCTTCGTTTCTCGCGAACGAATTTTCTCTTCCTTTTCTTTATCGTACCAACAAATATTAATAAAGCACTCGATTTTTGGTAATATTGAAAAAAACCCTTACGTCCACTACGAGCGCGTGAAAAAAGCGGCAGCTCATAAACACTTAGGCACTTTTTGTATTTTTCTTTTTCGTTATCTTCCCTCGAAATATCTAACATCTATTTACAGTTCTTTATCTTCGAAAGACTAATAATAATTGCACTGATCGATCACTTCAAACACGCCTGTTCTTCAACCATCGATCTCCCCCAGAAATCTCCAAGCTTCGATGATTTCTCTAAAATATTTTTATTTTAAAGCCTCTACTTGTCTCGAATTCGTTTATTATCTCCTCTTTTTAGGCGAAACTTCGTTGCTTTAACCCTCGATTACGATTCATTTTAGCAACCATTTTATTACGAATCAAAATGTAATGATAAGCAATCGAAGAAGAGAAAATTTCGTTTTGAATATAATATATAATATATAATTTTATTCCGTTTAAAAAAATGATAATTTAACTTCTGCGTGAACAATAAAATATTTTAATATTTCGTATTAACAAGTCGACCATTTTAGTTTGTAATTTAGGGTTAAAGCTATGCACATGTATATACAATTTTACATAAAAACAAATACCATCGACCATTTCAATTCTTCCAGAAATTTTAATAAATTGTTTATGATTTCTCAGACCATTTAATTTCCAAATTTAGTTGCGTTAAATTAATATATTTGTTCGTATTTAATTAGTTCGTTAGAAACCTGCGAAAAAGCTTAATTTGCGCAGTAAAAAAAATAAATTTATCGTTTTTTAACATGTTTATAATACAATATTTACTTCGCATATTACTTCTTCGCCTTTTCTACCAGCAGATTATTTTTATTCCGATGTGTCCCATTCATTCGGTACTCTGTAACTTACAAGGTGTAGACACGGTTGCAAAAGTCGTGGCAAACATCATTTTACACCCTGTGCATTGTTCATTTTCACTCGTTAAATATTTTTGGACAGTCCCGACTGAAAACGAGCCACCGCCATTGAACGGTAAAGGGAAACCTCGCGATAGCAGGGAATAGCAAAAGAATACAAGAGAAAGGAAACACAGGGAACAAACAGCATTCAGAACGAATAAAGGCACGCTTAAACGTTAATGTTAATCACGAAAACGGAAAATGTTAAGTGGGGAGGGGGATGAAAACACCGAGGGTCGATGCCACACGGTCAAAAATTAATAAAATTAAATGATATGTTGCTTCTCTGATCCGTGGTCTTAAACTTAAAATTATGATAAATTAGAACTAAATTAAAATTGGACGTGGCTTCGCTGCGACGTTCGTTGACTATGTTGCTATTAGTCAAACGAATATTGTTTTTGTGTTACGTCGTTGTAAATTTTTTTTTTTTTTACTTCAAAATGTTATTAAAAATCAAGTAGCCATATAAAAAGTTTTATACGTGGCTCTCTGGTAGATGTACAGGTTCTGTTAGAGTACTTATTATACTTTATATTATCCGTGAAATCGTTAATAAAATTCACAAATTTTTAAAAAGTTTCTCAAAAGACAAAAATTTGAATATCAAATTAGATTAAAAGATCAAAAACTGTCGATGCGTGCTTATCTACGATTTCGTATAAAAGTTCGATCGTCAAATGAAAGATCAATCTTGCTTATTACACTAAATGAATATCCATTCGACGATGAAAAATATTTCGAGTTCGCTTAGGCGAACGGGGACGGTTATCGTCCATCGTGTCGAGCCGATAATTATTCTTAAAAAGGCTAACTTCGAAAGCACACGTTATTTCTATCTAAGGACACTTCTCTATCGTTTCATCACAAAGATTATCATACAAAGACGCCGAAATACATACTAACGTGCTAGGGACGAATCGTTGACGCGTCCATTTGTGACAATGTTCCTTCGAATTGTGTATTTTCGAGGAGTATTGTTTTTTGATTAACTTTCAAGCATTCAAAAAAACAGTTTAATCCTTTGAATCCCTATGTTCAGGCCATCGTATTTAAATAAATTTACTAAAATGTATAGAATAGACAACGCTGATTCTTTCTGTTCCTTAATTTCTAATATCGATTGTCTGTCAGAAAGCTGGAAAACTATATCGAAGCATGTTAACAATTTCGTTGAAAGCTGTATACTTTATATCGATTGCTATAGTTCGAACAAAATCAAGAATTTAAGATTTTAACTCTTCCGTGTTTATATGGCATTTTCTTGCACCGAATTTTTTAAAATTACTTTCAAGTTTAAAATAGGCAAATAGAATTGTACAGAATTTACTTCAACTTACTCTATCAGCAAAAAAAAGCAGCAAATGCGATCTCGATCTTCGAGTCTTCAACATATCTTCTTACACACTCCCATCAGTGTTAACCAATTTCTCATAATATCTTGTATCGCCGGATTGCCGCAGCTTGTCATATCAAAATACGTATAATAATTAATTACCATCAGGGCCACGTTCCCTTTCTTGTACAGAATATTACAAAGAACCTACGAGCAACTTTAATCGCTAAAGTCACCCTCGATTCTGCACCAAATAATAATTTCGATGCAGTGTCTACAAAGAACACTTCGTGAAGACGTCATGTTCTTTGACCCTCTTTCCCTAGTTACTTCTCCTCGAACCGGAACGTCTTTGTGTTCGACTCCTGCCTACTGGACATCGTCATAGTGACGGTTTTCTTCTCGGTGACTTTATGCGTCGTCGACTGTTTCGTGGTGCGTTCCTCGTGGGCGTTATTATCGAGAGCTTTGAACGTGGACAGCTCGTTACCGGAAGTCGCGTACTCTTTCGTCTCCTCCTTGGACTCGAAGTTCGAACTGCTGGTCTTAGCAGGGGTGGAGGTGTAAACTTTCGTATGGATAGACTCCATCCTGCCACCAGGGATAACTTTGCTCTCTATGTTCCTGTACGACTGGTTCTGAGGAATACCACCGAAACGCTGTGCCTCCGTCTGCTTCTCCGATCGGAAAGTGCTCATAGGCGCGTGGCCAGAGAATCTGTCCACGGAATCGGTGTAATATTTATGATCCTGACTTGGAGAATACGATTTTTGTTCGTAAGATCGATCATCGGCGGAGTACTGATCCTGGGAGTACTTTTCGTAAGCATGTTGTTGCTGCTCTTGAAAGATCTTGCGCGTGGGAGAGGCTGGAGAATAGGTCATGGTGTGCACAGGCGGATACGGTCCTTCCATATGTTTCCTTTCAATAGTTCCGTAACTCTCCTGATTGATCTTCCTCTCTATCGAGCTGTACTGTCCTGGCGAGCTGTCCACGACGATCTTCTTGTCCATGGAGTAAGGACTCTCCGAGTTGTACCTTCTGTCATACTGGTTCTCGTTGTACTTTTTCTCCACCAATCCGTACTGGCTCTCCATCGTGGATCGATACTGACTATCCTTCATTTTTCTCTCCAGAGTGCTCTGCGTGGAGTGAACCTTCTCGGGGCTAACCAAGTTCTGCCTATCAGCAGCCAGCTGGCTGATGCTGTGCGTCGTGGACTGCAGTTGATCCAAACTGTGGTTCATCTGCGCGTGTGGATCGTAAGCTCGAGTCTCGTACCTAGTCGTGTAGCTCTCGTAGCCGCTCTGCTCCGCCTCGGTGTCGGTGTCAGCCAGGTCAGGTCTGTTCTTGTACTTAGCTTGTCGAATCGCCGTGAGTCTGCCTCTGGCCTCTTCAAGTTCACGCTCGATACGAAGCACCTCCGATCTGGCATTTATTTCCTGAGCGATTCCGCCAACCATCCTGCGGTTCAGGATCAAGGATCGATCCTCTTCTTGCTGAATGGCTTGCTGAGCTGCTCTCACCAGGTTGTCCGTAGCACGCTTCACCGCGTTCCCTGCCGCCTGCAGACGCTTCGTGCTCTCGCTATCCGGGTCTGCTTTCACCTTGCAAGCGACCAACAACTGTGCCGTGCTGCTAGCAACTTGTTTCGCGCTGGATATCAATTTTTCCTCGGAGCTGACACCCTGGACAAGCGCGTTCGCCGATTCTACGAGACTGTGAGTCGCAGCCGCGACCATTCTCGCCGCAGAAATCAATCCTTCGGACCACTGACCATCGTCTGAACTGGTCAAAGGTGTTCGTGAAACTTTCCCCGTTGCTATTAGTTCCCTTTGAGCCGCGCTAGCTGCTTTGATGAGGGCTGACGTCGCAGCTGCGATCGATTTAGCTGCCTCTAGGATCATTTCGTCGAAATTCATGTCTTCGTTAGCCTCCTGTGTGATAAGAGAAGCAACATTCAAGGCACTACTAACTAAACAAAGAATCGTGATCTAAACTTGCCCCAACTAATCTTACCCATGAATTTACGTCGACTCTTCCGATCGCCATAATAATATGTTTGATTCCTGGTCGATTATTTAAAAAAACGACCAATATATCAAACATATCTTACGGAAATCGGACTTGGTTTCCAGATCTTCGAGAGGTGTGCCCATAGTTCTTCTTGGATACGGTATATAATATTCATACATGATGAATTTAACGAGATCATAAATGGCGTCGTGAGCTCAACGCAAAGTATTAACAAACGTTAATCTCAATAAGATGAAAGTATGGTCATTTAAGGGTCAATGTACTGCAAAATTCAGTGCAAATCCATATTCTTTAAGACTATGTCCAAGAAGACTCACCTGTACGCTTCTTCTTGGTCTCAAACTAGCAAGCTTCTTGGCAGCTGCGTCGATGCTGGCAGCAGCGCCCAGCAGCTCATTTTCAGCGATGACTTTGGGATCATCAGGGTCCACCCAATCGTTGCCTTTCAGCAATTCGGCTACCGCGACCAGCTCGGTGACGCTCTGCGCGATTTTCCGTGAGATCGGTGGCAGAGTGTGCTTGGCATCGCCGGACCTGGAGGCTATTTGAAGAATAGCTTGCAACAGTTCTCTGTAATTGATCGCCACGTCGTGACCAGCCTGAAGTGTCCTGTCTCTGAGCTCGGCGGTTTCCGCGCAATTGTACGCCGCTCCTTTGCAGATCATTAGCATGTCGCTGATGGCTTTTCGCCCCATGTTCGCGGCCGCGATTATGTCGTCCTGTTTGCAGCTATTTCCAGCAGCCACCGCTTTCGCGGTCGAGACCGTGATGCTCTTCGTGCAACGCACCAGGTCTTCCGGGGTCACGTTTGTTTTCTGCATCTCGGGGGTGTTCAGAGCGCGGATTTCTTGAGCTATGGCCTCGATCGTAGACTCCAGAGCCCTGGTACCTCGCGTATGTTCGTCTTCCACGGCTTTCACCGTCTTTAGCAAGGATGTTACGTTGGTCACCATCACCTGAAGACGAAGAAACGAAAGGAATTATCATCGATTTTTTTTATACATCAGTGGTACATTATTACAACGACTTATCAAGAGTCTGGGTACTGTTTCCAACGTACTCATCGAGGACAGATTAATGAACTACAAATCACGTAACTTCTGGATTATTTACTCAGATTACGTGAGTTTTAGTAGGGCACTGTAGACAATTTAAATAATATATATAACGTTTGTTATGGGGTTAATGCGATGGTTATGTTGAACGGACTATCTGAACAATTTAGTGATAAGATTCTGCTATATGAGAACTTTGGCTCTGAAACGTTACTTTTGTTAACGTAATTCTAATAATAATAATATTATATTATTATTACAAGAAGAAACATCAAGAGGGGTTAAATTTAGTGCCATTATAAAGCATTAAGTATTGCAATTAATTATTCTTGTTCGCTGTTCTTGTAGAAAGTACTTATAAAATATAAAAATGAAGGTCTGATAGCAACGTAGACAAAATTAGTTAATCAGTAAAAGGTTATTGATCGAATTGATCCGAATTTGCTGCGTTCATCGTAGAAAAGTACGTATATAAATGAATTAATTTGCAATTAGTCGACGAAGCATTAAGCTCGGTGCTATTAATGGTTAATAAAATACACACTCGTTTGCAACTGGAATGTACGTACCTAAAGCTGGTTCGTTTTAAAAATTCTTGCCACGGATGATCAATGAACTCGTTTTAAAGGTATAATGTAAAAATTCGATGGTTTATTTTGCCGTTACAAAGAGAAAAAAAAAAAGAAGGAAAGATGAAGTATGGTACAAAATAAAGTACAGACTAAGTCGATACCGTGAAAATAATACTGGAACCGAAGCACGATACAATTGTTTGCGCAGTAAATAAAAAAAGAAACGTATAAAACGAATAAGTGAATGATTAAAAATGTAGCAGAAGCTTATCCTGTCGCTATCATTCGATTATCATTCAATCCTCAAGAATAAGTACTGTCTCAAATATAAATGCTGTTACAATGAACTTCAGAAGAACTGTAAAATGGAAATTTGCGTACAAATTCGCCACGAAGTTCTCGTTACGGTGGACTAATATTCGGAAAATATTAATTGTCCTGACTATTCGAAATACTACATTGATTATTTATGTTTTCTGCGATAGAAAATAATCAGTCACTTGATACTGGACTATTTTCACCCTTTCGGTGCTGCACTAGACAACCCTCGAGAGTCTTGTACCCTCTTTTTATTTTAGCCTAGCTTAAAACGTAGTAAAAAGATCATCATCGACTAGATGATTCATTCGGAACAACATTGAACGTATTACATTCAATTAAAATTGATTGATAACAGAAAAGATTATAGGCACTCGAGATCTAAAATTGTTTGAATTTTCATAATTTCTGTGACTTAAAAAATCTGACAAAAATACTTTGAACGCATTTCACCCGGTGGAGATGAGAAAAATATCCTTAGAGATGACCTTTTGCAAAAGAAAATAATTTGATCGAGGTACCTAGCGTACCGAAAGGGTAAGATGCCGAGTTCGACGGGAATCGATCAAAATGACTGTAAGAACGCGACTCGAGGAGGAATCGAGGCTTCCGCTACATGAGCAACAGCAAATCAGAAGTTCGCTGAGACGGTTGTTCGCTCTCGGACGCTGATAGCAGACGTATCAGCTCCTCTTCTTGATCGGACACGAACCACTCGGACTCCGAGCCGCCGACGTCACTCAGAGGCATCAGCTGCTGGTGTAGCTGTTGTTCTAACACCTATCCGAATCGCCCAGACCAAAATCGTCAATGAAACTCACATTAAAGTCCACCGTTCGTGACAAAATGTTTTTTTTTTTACTACGTAATTCGCGTAAATCTCATCATCAACAAGCAAACAAGCCGGCGATTCTCTTAACCGGTGAAGCAAACATCGTTTCTGTCTTGCACAGCGTCTACATACTTTCCCGTTAAGGAAACACATATCGAGTATATATATATATATCACACACACGAAAGAAAAGATGGAAAACCGAACGGAGGAGAGTGCAAGGTGGACTTTAATAGCGTGAACGTGTTCATTTGGTCAAGGCGAACGACGACGTATTGCCATTTCAAGACTCTAATAGTCCGGCGATTTCTCCTCTGTATCTTTCTTTAGTGGATTGTCAATGAAGTTGGTTAGAGGCGATGTACAAAAAAAAATCTATCGATTAAAGTCCACCCAAAAAATAACAGGGAACTGGTTCGTGGTTAAGTGTAAAGTTTGGATTTAGAGAAATACTGTTAGGTTTGCGACACTGGGATTTCTACGCTTCCCGCGTAGTTTCTCCCATCTCTGTTAATGAAGTCTCTGCTACGGTTAATGGTATTTAGTAAAGCGGTTCCCACTCTAATCTTTGACACAAGATCTTCAGCTTTCAGCTCGACGCGCTAACGAAAGGTGATTTTAGAGACGGTAGAGCCTTTACGCTCGACGAAACCTTGCTTCGAAGTGGGAAATCAAGAACGAGAATGATGTTTAGTCACACACATGTATCCTCAACGAAGCTCTACTTCCTGATATCTCGACGTTGCCATTCCGTTATAGGCCTCTTCCACGCAAGCGTCTCAGTATCAGTTAATACTAAGCCAACAACAGGAGATTCCTCGGTCATCCGCAACATCGAAGTGAACACGAATAAAGCAATAAAACATGAAAACCGATGGAATCAATTACCTTGGCAGAGTCCTTCAAGTGTGCCATGCTTGGATCGTTGATGGGCTTTCCACTGGCGGCTTTGGTAGCATGAATGAGATCGCCTAGGGCGGAGGCGACATCCTTTACCGCGTTTATTAACATTACTTGGGCTTCGGGATTCTGGCTACCCAAACTGGCTGCCCCGTATTTCACAACCTCGGCCAGCTGAACGATCGTCGACACAGCGTTCTGTGCAGCGACTGCCAGCTGTTCCTGCGACGAAGCAGCCCCTGCCACCAGTGTCTTGGTGTCCTCGACGAGAGCCTTGGCCGTTTTCAAGATATTCTCTCTGTGATCCGCGAAGGTGTCGCCTTCGTTCTCCGCGTGCAAAGTTCCAGCGGTGGCAAACATGATCGTGGTGTCCAGATCGCCGATGATGCCCGACACGGTGCTCGCGGCGTTGATGCAAGCTTGAGTGCCACGAGAACCAGCCTGGAGAGCAGCCAGTACTTGAGACACCTTCTCTGTGACGATCTTGCTATGCTCTGCGACCTCTCTTTGAGCGTAAGCGTCTCCCGACGACATTTGACACGTTCCAGCCGCGCGAACGATGTCCGCGCAAGCTCGACCAAGTTCCTGAACGCCTGTGCGAAGTCTCGCGGACACGTCCGCGTTGGACGCGGCTGCGGAGGCGCCGGAAGTGTCGCGGGCCAATTGCGTGTACTTATGGGAAATGTCCACCGCCAGGGGGCCGAGTCTGGCCACGTCGGTGCTGGATTTTGTCGACTAAAATCGAAAGAAATCGGAGATAGATTGAATATTTAAACACAAAATTATCTGCTTACCATTTCCTGGGCCAGACGAGCTATCTCCTTGGCAGCCTCCACCATTCTTGTCTGATAATCGACGTAAGAATCGACCGTGTCGATCGTAGACATCCTATGATCTTCCAATCTAACCATCGCCCGAGATATGGTGTCGATCAGTCCAGTAACAATCCCGTTAGAGGTAGAAATGGTCTCCAAAGTGTTTTGCAATTCTTGCAACGCGTCCTTCGTGGACTCGACAGTCTCGTCCACTTCCGCGTGTAAATTGACAGCCTTTGGATTGCCACCGGATTCCTTCGTTACGCACACGAGCTGCAGAGCGGACTCCGCGACGGTTTTCGTCTGATCGAGCAGCACCATTTGTTGCTTCGAGTGCACCATGTTCGAGGCAGCACCGATAGCACCGGAAACGAGGGGCTCACAGTACAAGGCAACCTGGTTAACGGCATGACCGATGTGCTCAGCCTCGTATTTAGCAGCTGTTCGAACAGGCTCCAGCTTCTCGCGTAGCTCGCTGGCGCTACTCTCCATTTGATCCGTGAATCCTTGTACCGTATTCTCGCGTCGCGGGACCAGAGCTTGCGAAACCGCGCTGAGAGAGGCAGCATCCAGTTCGCGAATTCTAGCTGAGAGTTTGTCGATAGCAGCGTCACACTCCTTTTGTCCAGGCGCTTTGTCTCGAATAGAAGCGACCAGAGACTTTATGGAGTCGCTGACGCTCTTGCTGTGATTAGCCAGCAATTGCCAAGTCGGGGGATCCTTCGGGCTCACTGCTAGACTCTTAGCAGCTCGCACCATGGCGCAAGAGCCGTCGATGATGGCTTTCCCGGCGCTGGTAATAGGTTCCTGCGCGGCTCTGGCGGCGATAGAGATCTTTGCCGGTTGGCTAGCGAATTCGGGAGACCCAGCGAACGTACAAAGATTGTCAACCGCCTCCAGAAGCGGTCTCGTTGCATCCGCGCACTTCTCTCTGTTGGTCTCGGAGTAGTTCTGATCGAGCGCCTTAATTTCCTTCACCAAAGCGGATGTGGAATTGGCAACGTCCTTGGCCGACTGGACGAAGTGTCGTTTCGCGACCGGATTACTGGTTTTGTTCGAGGCTTCGCGACAAGCGTTGCATAGAGCACTCGTGTACTTCGCGATCATAGTGGCCGCGAAGAGAACCTGTTGTTCGGTGCTCGTGGGATTCCCGAGGCTCTGGCAGCCGGTATGAATAGCTTGCGCGGCTCTCAAGAACTGTGCCTGATCCACGAGACCTGGTTTCCCAGCCACGGAAGTGGAATCGCTCACTCCGGCCAAGTACGCCGCCTGAGCTGCCGCTTCGATCAGTCCGCAGATGGACGAGGACACTCCGCGAACGGCAACAGAGAACTGCTCGTGTTCGGATTTCTTTGCGTGATTCGCTATCCCCGTCATCCCATCGCCGAGACTCTTGCTCTTCTCCATCACGGTTTCAAGGCACTCGAAGTACGACGCGTCGGAAATCGGCTCGCTAGGATTGTCGAGAAGCGACCGCATCGATTGGATGTTCCTAATCGCGTTGTCGCATTCGTTTTGACCCGGTGCAGCGGAGGTACAAACGTCCACGAGGTAATTGATGGAATCAGTCACGGCTCGAGCAGCGGCTGACAGCTGATTCTTCGCGTTCGGTGCGCCTGGATCCGCCGCTACTGATTTAGCCGTCACCAGCAACTTGCCAGACGTCATGCTGACGTTCTTCAAGGAAACAACCATCTGACTTCGAGTTTCGATCGTTGTCTGTCCGGCCATCTCCATTCCGACGCCCAGCAAGTCCCCGAAAGCGTTGGTGAATTGTTTCGAAGAGCTTGCTAATTGCACCGGAGACCGTACAGATGAGACTACGCCCGACGAAGCATCATTCAAGTTGGCGGCTGCGTTGTTCAGATCGCTTTGCAGTTGTCTGTAAAATTAAACAGAAAATATTTCCCAATTTATTATAGAATTCGAAACATTTACTATAAATATATTTAAAGTTATTGAAATTTACTATTCGATGTTATCTCCAACCATTTAAAAATAGAACCAGAAAAGTAACTTGTTATCCTCGTCCCAGATGATAAAAATATCTTATCGAATTACACAAACGTACCCATAGCTCTTGTTGGTCTGCGGGAACTCGTTCATACCGAGGACTTGAATCATGTCGTCGATGTTCCTGATCGCTTCGTCGACGTCCCTTTGGCCAGGTAAACAGGAAACGCACTTGTCCAAGGAGTTCGACACGTCTTTAGCAACGGCGGCCAAATTGGCTTCGTTGCTCGGGTTATCCGGACTCTTCAAAGCGCGTTTGGCCTCCTTCACGAGATGCAAAGACTTCAGGATTACGTCGTCCGCTGTCATCAGTACTTTCTTCTGCGTTTCCGGTTGATTTGAAGTAGCAGCGACCCCGCGAACAGCATAAGTAAGATCCTTGAGCGCCGACGCTGTTTCCCTTGCAGCACTTCCGGTGTAGTTCTCGTTACCTTGTTTCGCGGCAGACAAGAGCTGAGCCATGGCGAATCCAACGTTCTTCGACGTGGCACCCAGTCGAAGAGCGGTGGACTCTGTCGTTTCATCCGGCAAGGGCCTAAGAGAAGCAGCCTCTACTGCTCTGTAAAACTCTCCCAATTCGTCCTTCAAGCTGTTGATCAGTTCTTCGGCAGCATCCAGTTCCAAACCGCCGCAAGCTTCTCTGGCACGCGTCACCGCCGACCTCAAGTCCGACAGAGAGGCGCCCAATTGCTGAGAGGTATTGTTCAACTGTAGAGCAGAAGCCTGATCGGTCACCGTCGGCAGAACCGCCCTGGCAGCTTTCACTACAGCCGTACCAGGTTGCAAGAACTGTTCTGACGCGTTGATCAAGTTCAACTGTGCCGTGGGATTGTCTGGTTGAGCTTGCGTGCCCTTCACTCCGGCTACCAGGTGCGGTATATGCTGCACCATCATTTGACACTCCGCGGCTAATTCCTCCTGGCTGGCCAGGTTCGTATTGTGATGGGTGACTCCTGAGGCAGCGACTATGCACTGCGTGGCCGTGGAGGCGGCCTGTTTCGCGCAACCCTCCAATCTGGTGATCAATTTCCTCCGCAAAGCCGGAGTAGCCGCTGCGGTGGTCGCTGCTCTCAGTTCTTCCGCGGCTAATCGCAACTGATCTTGCATCTTTGCATCGTGTGGACTACTGGCGCATTGTCTAGCAGCCTCTACCATCTTGGCGGTGGCATCTGCAAGCACCTTCGCCGCGGCCAACAGTCGACGTTGTTGCTCTGTATCCGTTTGCCTTTCCGCCTCGCCCTTTATGCTCTGAATCAACTGCGCCGTTGCTTGACCTACTACCCTTGCCTGTCTCACCATTTCACCAGCATCCCCGGTACTGGCGAACAATTTATCGGTGGCTACCAGTATAGTCTCCACAGCTCCTTCCTGTACCGATTCTTTGGCTCGTTCTCCCCTCGTGGCCGTCTTTATATGGTTCAACAGGTCGTTCAGCGTTCTGCTCACCTCGCTGGCGGCCGCGCTTAGTTCTTTTAGAAGGTTCTCGTCGTTGCAGGTCTCGTTGCACACTTCCACCAACCCTTCGACCGCCTTCGTCACCTCGCGAACGGCGTTCATCAGCTGCGTCTGACAGGCTGTCGAGTGCAAGGTGGGCGCGACGACCTTTGCACAGGCGACCAGCTGCGAGGTTGCAAGGGCGCATTGGGTAGCGGCGGATATCACGCGATTTTGCGTAGCGGAATCTTCACACGTGGCAGCGATGTTTTTGGCTTTAAGTACCAATGCAGCGGTTGAGTTGGCAACCGCCTTGGCCAGGGCGAGCAGCATGTCTTGAAGTTCCCGGTTCGAGTCGTTCTCCTCTCCGATGGTCGTCAGCACTTGGTGGGATGCTTCACCCACGCGAGACGCGGCGTTCAAAAGGTTCTGCCTCGGCTAAAATACGCAGAACAGGATGATATGGAAGTGTAATTGTTATGTGAAATCTGAGGGTTAACAAAACGATTCAACGTGCAGCAAACGAGGTGCTGAACGCATATCACAATCCTTGTTCTAATACCAATTACTACCGGAAGTTTAGGTGTAAGCACTAACGACAAATAGCTATACTCAATATACCCAACGTAAAGAAATGCTGTGACTCGTGTTGCATTATCATTGTTTGAAAGAAACTATAAAGTGTTGAAATATTTTTAAAAGCTGCCAACTGTTCCTATGCTCTATGACGTGAAAATAAATTAGAAGCTGATATTTCGACTTTTTGCAACTAATTAAGTTGTGTGGTATTTGTGCTTACGTATCGTTCGTAGGTAGAAGGCATTATGTAGAAAGGCTGTACAAAAAGTCATAGTTTAAGGAAAAATCTTATCGAGTATTACTATTACTACTATACAACAGTTTCGCTGTTTAAAAAATAACTGCAAGACCCGAAGAAGGAAACAACTATACAGAATTACACTAACGGTTGATCTTTATCCATTCCTCTCCTACAATATTTATTACGTTTCTAATTACTCGACATTCTATTGTATTATTCGTGACAAACCTTGAAGTAGCTATGGAACATTTTTCCCATCAAAGGTTTCAAAGATTCCTCCGAATGTCCTCATTTCAAAGTGTAATCCTTCTCTCAGATATAACGATATTAACCACTCGATGTGCGGGTATATCAAATGCCAAATTTCATTGCAAGATTGAATAAAGAGAAACTTATGATAATTTGATAAATGGACGAACTGTATCTGGCATTTGATAAACATCGGTCGTAGAAGGAGTCTTACCTCTTTGGTTTCAGGCTCCGTGGCTTTCAGCAAGTCGGAGAACGCGGAGCAGAGCTTCCTGGCGGCGTCCAAAAGTCTGTCGCCGGACGAGTCGTCGTCCATGAGGGCAGCGATCATCCTGACGCCTTTCGTCATCTCAGGAAGGTTGCTGGTGATCGTGGTGATCGCTGCACCCACCGCGGTGTGATCCACATCGTCTGCTGGCCCGGAGGTCAGGGTGACGACCTGCGCCGTGGCGGCGTTCATCGCCGCGATTTGCGATCCAACGTTCTGTTTATGGGTGTCTATGGTCTGCTCGATCCATTTCAACGAGGCTGGATCGGTTCCCAATTCCGGGAGCTGAGCCTTGCACGAGAGCTCGGTCTCCGCTATATTGATCACCTCGTGACCAGCGGTAATAGTCGACAATAAGGCACGTTGTGGTTCGGACAGGACGGATGTGACCTTGGTTTGTTGCACCTAATTTCAATTAAGGTTATTTTATGGGACACGTGTTGCCGGACGAAACCTTCTGTGGTGTCGCTGATGATTAGATATATACAGTGCCAGCCATATATAGACGCGTGCTTTATAAATAGAAATTTCATACATTTTTTTTATCTCATTTAGAGTAACCACGTGTCGACTCTATTTATTAGATCTACCTGTCTAAAATTGAATAGAGGAAGTTTAATTTCAGTTTAGCTCTTTATAAAGAGATATAAAAAATTTGTAAATATATAGCTGACAATGTTCCACATAGTGAGTCGTACATTTGGTACAAGTCATGAATCCTAATTAGTCGAGGATAGAGAAAATTATAGGCAAGAAAATCGAGTAATATAACACGAGATCTTTGCTTGCAGATTCGAGCAAAGAGTCAAGAGATAGAACTTGTCCCCACTTGCACGACTCACTCTGTACGAGGCTGTTTAATCTTTCACAAAGGTTTTTTAGGGTTCATTTTATTTTGAAGTTTTAAACAAGATCATTTAAATAATTCCGGAACCATAAAAGATTAAGCAACCCATCAGTTAATAATATCAATATTCTTAATAAATCATTATTTTCTCAATTATAAATGTGTAAAAATAATTTAAAGTGCACGCCACACGAACAAAATTTTGTAATACAGATTTCACTGACCAACAGATTATAATAACTTATTATTTCAGACGGAATGTTTCTTTTAGAGTTTAAATATTTGTTAAATATTATATTTCAGTGACTTCTGTATTTAACGGGTGTAAACGGAATATAATCGAACTGAAACTGAAAATGACGAATTTAAAACTTTTTTTAATATCCAATGTAACTAAAAATGTTATCATCGTGTACCTACTCTGTGTCCGCAATAGAAGGCGCCTAGCATGAAAATAAATTGAACCGTCTATTAGTCGTTTGCAAAATTGCTTCAACGTACAACGAAATCGCTTAATCACTGATTTCGAGAACTTAAATATATCGTCGATATTCGCTGCGATCCTTCAAACACGCTCGATCTAAGCTACTGCTACAACAGAGCGAACGAGCAGCTCTTGCTGATGCAAATCGTCAGTGTATCTCTGTGAACACTGCATTTGTATTCCAACAACAATTCAAACAACAAATTTCGATTGCAATTAATCTCAGATCCACAGTTGTTAACATTAAAGTTGTAGTTGAACTTCTTTAGACCAAAACGCAAATAACGAATGAAAGTCTAAGCGATTGTAAACAGATTTAGTCGCTATGGTCTTCGAGTAAGGAATCGTTTTCAGTGTTGACACGCGTAAAACACTGAAATTGAACATGAGCAGGAGCCTCTTATGCTTTTCATAGATCTTACCATCGGTGGAGCGTGAGCGATGTTCACCTGGCCGCTGACAGTCGTGTATTGAGCACCGCCCATGTGCCCGGTCCCATATGGTCGAGCCCCTATAAACCGTATCATGCAACTATCCGAGTGGTATTTACAAAGATCGATCATCACGATCGATTGCACGACACCGAGCAATCTCAACAAGAAACTAGATACCCACTAACCGGCTCCGTGATGCGAAGCAAAACGTTTATACGAAAAAGCTCTCGTGGCTGACACGTCGTTTACATAAAAATAACAAAAAAAATGAAGTACGTTTGTATGTACAAAATCAACGGAACGGGTGGAGAACGCCCCGAGGATTCAGACGTGCAAGGATCTCTCTGGCTTCTTTCGTTTCTTTTGCTCTGGGATTTTACGGTAATGTCAAAATGCGGTGTCTTATATCTCATTCGTTGACAATTATTAACGTTACGAAAGAATCGTGTTCGCTGAGAAAAAGTTAAGAAATAGTAGGTTTGTTGTTATACACAATTCATTGATAGATATAAAACACTGCTTTTGGAACACACAACATTGAAACAGTGTTAAGAGTACTTTACCGTCTCCTCCGACTCTCATGACTGCTGGTATGGCGACCGACACGGCTTCTACGTTTCCTTTACCCACGTTGCTAGTTTCGTGTTGCATAATGGTCGCTCTGTCGAGGAAATGAAACAAATAAATAATTTATTTTCCTAGGCCAAGTTCGATTTAACTATTTAAAATTAAAGTGACTTCGATATTAAATCCCATTAACTTCGAAGATCCATATCCCTCCCTAGATCTGACATAACTTCTCTGTCTTTGTCTCAGAAACTCTTCCATGCTTCGAAAAATCCTCACCCAAAGCGAAAACGACAACTCGTAACATTCAACGAGAAAATCAGACTGATAAATCGAGCTCGATAATTGCCCCAGTGCACTCCTCGTCTCCGTTTCAATTAACGAGTTAGCACGTAAAGCGAACATGCGACATACGTACTTCAGAGGCGACACGCTGTCTTCGACCATCGTCGAGCCCTCGTCTCCCTCGATACCGAACCGATCCTTGGCCTTTTGCTTCTTCAGAATGATGTCGATGTAACCGGAGATAAGTTGAAGGATCTGCTCGGCCTCGGTGGTCTGCACGCTGTAATATTGATCGGAATAATCGCCAAAGTCGAGCGTGAATGTGTTCGGAGAGGCACCCCAACGTCGGACGGTAGTCAACGGCCAGGTCTTCAAGATTTCTTTCGTCTTTTCATCGAGTCTCAAGACCGAGTCTTTCGTGACGCCCAGCAAACGGGGCACCAGTTTGTTCTTGCCCTTCATTTTTTCTTTCACCAGGAAAAACGTGACGCCATATGTGCTCAACGACCTCGCCGTTTTCGTGTACAAAACTTTCGCGTCGAGCTCGGACAGGCCGACGTTCTTCTTGTGCTCAGCAAAAATTTTCTTCTCGATACCTTTCACCTTCAAGTAGGACTGCGGCAGAAATTCTTTCAGGCTGCATATGAAAATAGTATCACGCTAATTATCACGAGATCCTTATAAAGCTCTTATTTGTTATAATCGTTGGTAAAAGTATCAGTGACGAGTTAAATGTATCTCCTATGTTTTTAATTCTCAATAATTTAAATATTCAAGATGCTTGTATAAACTAGGATACCCCTACTATTAAATATAATTTATTTGTGATTTTTTAACCAAACTCTTTCAAGTGTTATTAATTAACAGCAAAGATATTTAAATACAAATTAACGTTACTAATCGAAACGCGTGTTTGCAATTTTTTGTAGATAAGATATATTAGATATTAGGTTTGATGGGAATAGTAGCGTCTCGTCTGATAACTTACTCGAGAAAGCCTGGTTTGTGCTTGTCTTCCTTGTGGTCGCCAAATTGAATCTGACATTGTATCCCGGCGAAATTGCACGCTTTTTCCTGAGTAACTGGATGCGTGCCGTCTAGAATCGCGTCTCTAGCCTGGACGTATAAAAGCGATAATTGCACCGGATCTCTGCTGTCGATATTTTGATCCGAAAAGAAGAACTTTCTGCGCAGCAGGACCGTTTCCGACTCGTCTATTCCTTGCTCCCTCAGCGTCTTGCTAGGATCGATCCAATTCACTGAAGTGAAAAGAACATAATATTCGTTCACACGACGTAATTGAACAACCCATACTCTAAACGAACTAATCTTTATCGCTGTGACTCTACAAAATGAAGAATAATCCGCTGGTCACTTTCGATAAAGCGAAACACTCTAATGGTTCGCGTCGTCTTGTTTTAAAATTCCTATCAGCTAAGTTTAATAAGTTCGAATGCTCATCGCGATACCCGAACGGATCGAGATCGTTACCTTCGTCGTCTGTCTTCAGCTTCTTCCTGAGCTGATCCATTTTCGCGTCCCGTTCGCCTTTCTCCTCTTTCCTCCTCTTCAGGGTGAGGGTGCCGAAATTGCCCGGCTTTTGATTCTCGGTTTCCTCGTCGGCCAGCTCGCGCACCAGCGAGTACTCGTCATGATTCGTGATGCCTATCTTCGTGCAAATTACTACCATGAGATTGGCGACGGCTTGACTATCATCCACTAGTAACGTCTTCAGTGTTCCATCCAACATGCGCACTCGGAGAGTCCGCAGTTTACGCCGGTACTCGAGAAGATCGCCGTTCCTCAGAATGTAATAATCGAGATTCCGTCCTGGCTCCAGCCAGACTCCTTTCTTGACGTCCTCGTCAGCAAGGAATAGTCCGTAGTCCTTGGCTATCGACGAAAGTTGGAATCCATTACCATCGCCGGCACAATTTCTCACAGAAATTCAAACACATTCGATAAATTTGACAGCGTTAAAGAGATAGAATTTAAAACTGATAACAATTTTATACATATAATTTTCAATATATGGGGGAAAAAATATGTGAACGCGTGTGTGTTCGCCAGCACGCGTCGTTGCATATTTTAGGTAAAAGTTAGAGCTTACGTTGGCCCATGTTACTCGCTTCAGCGAGTTTCTCTCTGATAATACGGCAAGCGTCGTAAACGGATGTGCTCGGGTCAAATTGCATCATCTTCGTGGCGTTTTTCTCCGGGATGGAGATACGCAGGGACAGGGTGGCCATTGCGAATGCCTGGGGTGATCTTCTGCGTGCACGAAAACCACCGGAATCACTCGACTGAAAGGCAGAAGAAAGAAAAAAATACTGGTGAACGCTTCGATCTTTACGCCACAATGTTACTTTTCGCGTTGGAAACAAATACGAGGGGGGTTGCTTCCTCCAACTGTGCATTTAACCCTTTATAACGCGATTAATTACATTACAATGTATCCAACTTGGAAAAGATTTTAAGTAGACTCATACAGGAATTAATACGGGGTGTATTTTCGAATACGTTGTTGTGTTAACTTCTGTTGCGTTTGTTACTTTGTTATTGTTGGAATTAACGATAGGAGACGTCACTTTCAGGGCACGTGGCTGACTTATGATCGTAGATCGCGAAGAACATAAAGGACTTTATACGGATATACGATTTCCAGTTTACTGCTGAATCATGTGCAACAAGTTGCAAGGGATTGAGCATTGTGCTCGTTCAGGGGTCACCGTTCTATCTCTGCGCGTAATTGAACGTTATCTTAAAATAACAGCCACTTCTTGCCAGGGTGGTGTAAATTGCGTGCAATATGTAAACTCCCTCCAACTTTGTTTTGCGCGGTAATTTATCCGATACAATCTCGAATCAACGCCTCTTTCAATTTAGATACAAAAGGTGTTCAGGAAATATCGAGAGTGTACATTTACGCTTCCCAGATGTAGTATTATCGTTTAGGGTGTGTCTCTCCGTGTAAGAACAAACTGAAAATTTAAAATAATATTTGTTTAATGAATTTTTAAATTCATAAATACCATTTACAATATTTCCACCCTCAAATCGAGCAACTTTTTCCACGGATATTTTTGTTGTATTGTTGAAAGAAACGGAGATCTTCAGGGTGATAACGTGAGGCGTTTCACTCTGTATATTGATCTTCCGTGGTATGATGTATTTGCTATAGAATTTGCCACAGGGTGTGTGATCCAGCACGGGCGTAGAATCCACCCCGTCACGGTATCCGGCTAATAAAAATAAATTGTGACCAGCTCGGGCCTAATTAAATCGATCCCGGAAAACGAGTCTTCTCATTTACACCCCGTGGGGCAAAACACCGCCCAACGCGCTTTATTTGCATCAACAAGTTACAAGTAGCTCCCTCCGCGTTACGTGAATAAATCACCATGATGAATCGTCAGCCAGCAGTAGCTTTATTGATCAGTCGTGAAGAAATTATTGGATTCGAGCTGTTTCACTTTATTTTATAATGAAAGGTGTATCACATGCAATAATTGGAGAGTTTGTCGATCGGTCGAATCCACTTTGCAAAAAGGAATCTCGCCATACGAGAACAGAAATACCGTCATAGTTATGTTAACTGGAAAGTTGATTAATTATGAAGTTTCGTTCTTGGCGGAATGGCGAGAGGAGAAAGACATTATCCGTCGCTCCCTGCGAAGCCTGATTCTGTTAAGAAACAGAAACTAGAAAACGAGCTGAGGAATTTAATATTAACGAGAGCAGTTGTTCGGTAAGAAACCTAATTCTTGAGAAAGGTACGCGTACCGAAAGTGCAGTTTGCACAATATTCAATTTCACAAACAAACTTATAACTTCAAGTTCTCCTTAAACCCCGAATAAAAATAGTGTAGAAGATTCGTTACCGTCTCGCTGACTCCTTTACGGTTCTACAAAGATCCTAATCGAGTTTTAGCGAGAAAAATGTACGCCTGATTCTTAAAATATGGTAGACGCCCAGAGGGAACGATACACGATACACCAGGATACGCCCCGAATACGAAGAGATCGCCAATTATAGACTGTTTCCTTCGTTTATTCGACTTTTTTACAGGGCCCCACAGGGGGTGTAAAGGGGCGGGGGTCCGTACACATAAATTCGCTGCAAGTACACCCTACGCCAATGTGAACTTCCACCCATAGACGTTGCCAGGCAACACCGGTCTCTGACTGTGTCAAACTCAAGCACAACTACCCCCGACCATCCCTTCTTACGAATCCAGCTTTTCTCAGTCTCTCTTCATTTTTGCCCTCCCTTTCTTCCCGTCGTCGCTGCTTCCTTGTTTTCTCTTCCCCACTGTATTTTCTACGTTTCTCCAAGTTTTTCACTCCCACCCCCCTTTCCCCCGTCGCTCCACCCTTTCACTTATCTCCACCTTCTTTTTCTCTATACATCTAATTTTTCCACCCCGCTATTCTTCCGATGCTCGCTCTGCTCCGGGCTCTTCCTTCTCCCATTTACAGTTTCCATTTTCACGCATCCCCTAACTTTTTAAATTCGCCCAGCGTAAGTTTCTCATCCATATTCCGTGTTCGTGGTTCGTTCGCGCCATTTTTAATTTCATTTTCAGAACCAGTAACTCCAATCTCTGCTTATATCAACAGAATTTAATATAATATTTGAGTTCCTTGAAAGCACACTGAACGTACCAAAAACTTGATGGTTATTCGGGAGATTTGTTAGCTTTATCAGGACGAAAATGGCTGAAACGAACAAAGAATAGTAGAAATTAATGAGAATGAAGTAAAACGAAATATGAAGATGCTCCGAGCAATGGATAAATTACTGAATTACACGCGTACGAATCTGCTTTGATAATCGTGGAAGTTTGTACGAAACTTTGCCCCCCCCCCCGGTTCATTTCAGAACTCCCGTCTGGTAATGTATGCAATGATACTATAGAACTTCTTGACTAATAATTTCGTTTAACTTTATCTTCAAACGAATTAAGTCGTCCAGCATTCATGGAAGTTGTAAACTGAGATAATCAAGAGATCGCTAAGTGTTTCTCGCCGTGGAAACTGTACGCTGTGAATTATTTAAAAAGCTTCGCCCGATGTTAATCCCAAGGGAATCCAAACACTTTTGATTTCACGATGCTGTCGCCGTTTATTCGTTTGATTCTTTGGCCCCGAGTTTATCAAATAATAAAATAAACGCGACACGATATCTGGACATTGTAATATTCTCGAAAGTGGAACAGCCTCGAAATAAACGGGACGCGTAATTTCACGTGCAATTAATATCGGTTGACTCGAAATAGCTCGCGACTCGAAGAGACGAACGACGCGAAATTTTAAGTCTCGCGCGTTCGCCGACTTCTTCGCTCTTGTGAAGACGATTGTGCACGTTAACGACGCTCCTCGAGTGTATAAATAATGATCCGGCCCGGGTGTCGAAGTGCATCGTGACTGCATAGATGCACTCACGATGCTGACCCAATTGCGACTAATGAGGTCATTCTTCGGAATACATTCCGTGGAAATTGGAAAGTGACGTGCCGCGGTCGAGTGAAGTAACTTTGTTAAACGGCGAATCAATTCCGCGGTAAAATGACATCGAATCGGATAATAGTTCGAGGGGGCTGTTCCCCCTTTATTTCATTTATTTCTCTAATAAGTTGGTTGGAAATATAGAGTGTCAAGAGTCATAGAAGGACCTAGTTTCAGTCATGAGTAGACTACTGTCCGAGAAGTTGTCACCAAGTTATCCTCAACATCTCCTAGAATTGCTAGGGTGTTAATTCTACCTTGCTCTATTCACCAACAATTATTGTAATTGAAACATAAGATTTCATACCCTATTTTTTTTATTTATGCTTTGCCAAATAACGTATTTAAAGACTAAAGAGTTTTAATTAATAAATGAACAGCGATATTTTATGTGTATCGACCAAAAAGATCCATTACAGCCTCTACTAGATTCAGTCGTCTGCCCCTTCCTACGAAGATGATGCCTGACAGGAACTAATTGAGGGTCTACCGATTGGCGAGAGGCAACGAAGACACGATTATGCACGCTCTACAAGATTTGGTGATCAGGGGTTCGGTTCTCTTAATGGATCCTGGCATAGGTGCCCAATCACATGGACCCCCGCTGTTGATACAGTGAGCATGAAAAATAACGTTTCGCCCTCGTTTAACCCGTTCCTTGAACCCGATCGAAACGCCACGTCCAATTTTCTCGATTAAATTGGCGTACAGTGACTCACAGCCTCGTTAAAATTCAAGAGTTCTGTCTAAATTTATTCCCCTCAATATCGAATCCGGAGAATTAATTGTGTTAGCTCCCTAATGAATAATTACATGAATGACGTTAAATATAATGTGGATATATCTGACAGTTATGAACCAATCTGTGAATTATCGAACATGTCATTTGTTTTAAAATTGGGTATTTGAAGACAACAACAATGGCGGTGCGTTATCGCTGGTTGACGATACTTCACCAGCCTGAACATAAACGGAGATAATATTTAAGAGACAGAAACTTCTGGCCTCACGAAGTCACTTCCTTGTCTGTGAAGCTTGCCAGACACGACGCCCCTCATCCCCTCACCTTTGCGCCACGCCAGTTTGCCCCTCTATGTGACAGACACAGGGCATGTGTCTGCAACTTTGCATTTTCTGTCTTTCAAACACAACCGAGTGGAGCGAACTGACAAGGAATGCACGGTGGGGACGAAAACTCGATAACCTTGAGCAGCCAAAAATTTTTCTCCCGGCTACAACACGTCCTGGACTTAGCATACGGAACGAGAACGATCTCATTGAACCCCGAATAGAGGGCAAACAACCTACAATAGCCCACCGTTGCCTTCTCTCCTGTCTGACGTTCTTGTATACACCGTTGTAAATACACGATCCAAACCAAACTTTCTATTCACGAATTTTCACCTCTGACTTCATTTCAGATAAAATGAGAAATAGTGAAACCGAACAATACACGGTGCATTTATTTCGAAAATGGAAAAGACTCTGCGGAAGAAGCACGGAAGGCTGTTTTCCCACCCTCTCCCATGAAAGACCAACAAGATTGCGGAACCACTTATAGCCATTTACTTTTGGTCGCTGCAGTACTTACTGCTCTCTATTCTCGGCGATCTTAAAGTGTCGGAAGCAACCCAGTCAGCTTTTTTAACTCTATCGTCGTCTTATGAGCTTCGTCTTTTCCCCAAACCCACCCCTGCTCGCGACACCCTTCGTCACGAACAAGCTCGACGTGTCGTGGCCCAAAATGAATTTACAGCCGGTTGGAAGTTCGTAAATTGGTAAAAATATTCTACAA